AAAAAATTGCTAGCACAGGGTTGGGATTGTGGCTCAGAGGTTTGATCCTCAGCACCACATAAAAATAAATAAAATAAAGTTATTAAAAAAATTGCTAGGGGGCTGACACTGTGCTAGCAATTTTTTTTAAGTTTCTTTTCTTTTTTTTTTAATATTTATTTTTCAGTTTTCGGCAGACACAACATCTTTGTTTGTATGTGGTGCTGAGGATCGAACCCGGGCCGCACGCATGCCAGGCGAGTGCGCTACCGCTTGAGCCACATCCCCAGCCCCAACTTTTAGTATTTTTATTGGCACATAATAGTTATTTATAATAGTAGGATTCATTTTGACATACTCATACTTGAATATAATTTGATCAATTCTATGTTTATGTATTTTTGGTGATACAGTGATAATTGTTGAGAATTGAATTACATCCTCCCAAGATTCATATGCTGAAGTCCTAACTCCCAGTATATCAGAATGTGACCTTATTTGGAGATTGGGTCAAGTTAAAATGAGATCATCATGGTGGGCCCCATAAGAAAAGGAATTTGGATACAGGAATACATAAAGGGAAGAAAACGTGAAGAGACATAGAGAAGATTGTTATCTGTAAGCCAAAGAGAGAGCCTTCTGAAGTAATCAACCTTGAGCTAAGACTTCTAGCTTCCAGAAGTATGAGACAATAAATTTCTGCTTGTTAAATGGCTCAATTTGAAGTACTTTGTTACAACAGCATAGAAAATTGATATCTTCCCCATCCCTCAGACCCTAAAAAGGTGCTGTTCTTCCCCTCAATAAAAAAATATTATCCCTGACTATAAGGATGATAACTGCAATGAAGGAAAGCCTATAAAAAGGAAAACAGGAATGATTAAGGATGTCATCAAAGACTTCCTTCCCTGAGGAAGTTTCTTTAAAGATTTTTCCCCTTTATTAGTACATTTTAATTATACAGAATAATGGATTTAACTGTGGCATATTTGTACGTGGAAATAACATACATTGATCAGCTGAGGAAGTTTTTAACTAAGCTGAGATTTAAAGTAAAAAGAAAGGAACAAGACTTTTAGGTAGAAGAAAGTATTTTAAATCCCCTTACAGGAAGAACAAAAAGAAGGCAAGTACCTAGTTCAAAGAAAGTAAGGTGCACAATAGGAGGTAAGGGTGAAGAGGCAGCTGAAATCCTCATTATGTAGGGGGTTTAGGTCATGTTAAGGATTTGGGAATTTATCTGAAAAAGCACTGGCATGAGACAACCAAACATTGGGTGCTCATACCATGAAGAAATGTGAAGTACCCAGCATCACCTATGAGTATCCTTGTTTAAAGAGAGGATCCTAAATCTAGCTGGGCCTTTGGAGCTAACTTCCAGGTATAGGAAATATGGGAAATGGAAGAACAAGTTAAATAATCCCACAAGGAAGTAATCAGACAAATCCAAAATATGGAACATTCTCAGTAACAATCAAGTCAGTTCCCACAGAGAAAATTACGTGACAAAAAACAGACAGGAGAGAAGACATACTCTAGATGACTAGACCAAATAGAACTCAAGAACATTGTTTAGATGCTTATTGGAACAACTCAACTGTTTTTTTCTTTAAAGAAAAAAAAGGCACTTTCAAGTAATTGGTGAAATTTGAATGTACTATAATGATACTAAGGAATTAATGTTACAAAATTTTAAAAATATGTTGCTTTCCTGTTGAAGTTGTGATCTTGATAGCACAAACTGTATGTAAAATAGGTATCTAGGATGCATGGCTAATGCTGATGCTGAATCTGAGTATTACAAATTTAGGAAAAAAGTCAAGAATCCCTGAGAAATAATTTGTATCTTTTCAGAATTATGAATTTTAGAGTTTTGAAATGACAAAGAGAAATTATCCAGTCAAATTCATCTTGCTTTCTGATCATCATGAGAGCTCCTTTTCTTGCCACACTCTTCTGCCATGATGTTCTACCACACTGTGAGCCCCAAGGAATGGAGCCTACTGTCTATGGTTTGAGACCTCTGAAACCATGGGCCCTAAATAAATTTTTCCTTCCCTAAAATTGTTCTGGTTGATTACTTTAGTCACAGCAGTGAAAAAGCTGACTAAAACAGAAATTGGTACCAAGAAGTGGGGTCATTCCTGTGACTAACCTGACCATGTGGTTCATAAGTTGTTGGAGCTTTTTGGAATTGGTAGGAGGAATTTTGAGATGTGTAGCAGCACAAACTTGGATTACTTCAGATTACTGTAAGCAGAGATTAATGGCCAATTCTGATGGGAACTCAAAAGAACAGAATGCCAACAGGACTGTGAAGACAGGGCTCAAGAGGGTTCAGAAAAGGAGGATCCTATTAAAATCTGGAGTAGAGGCTATTAGTGTTATGTTCTGAGAAACTGTCTTCACTTTGCCTGTATCCTGAGACTTTCTGTGAGGCTGATTTTAAAAGCGATGTACTTCTTAATCTGGTAGAAGAAATTTTTGGATAGCATAGCATTCAGGAAGTGGCATGGATATTGCTGGTGACTTTTAGCCAAATTTATTCTGATATTCAGGAGTAGAAAAAAAAAGAAATATTTGAAAAACTTGAACTTGAAAAGCAGGAATAAAACTGGGGATATGGAAGTTGCAAGTGTTAAAAACATTACTGCCACTAAATAAATCCTGAAGATTTTGCTCAGAGACAATAAGAAAGATTGCTTCAGGAACTGGCAAGACCATACCTAGCTCAAGCTCAAGGGAATAAAAGAGAAAATTCTCTTGAGAAGAGACCAGTGGGGCACCCTTCTTGCACAAAGGAGCCTAGGAAGTTGTTCAACATGCTCAGCTACTCAGGCACTCAGAGGTTGCTACAGCCAGGGTCCCTGGAGGCTTGGCTACTGCTCGAGATGGTGGCAGACCTTGGCATCAACCACATGGTGCTGGTTTTGCAGGAATGCTGTATGCTGAAGTTAGAGGGTCATGGAGGCTTCTACCAAGATTTCAAAGGAAGAACTGGGAGTGCAGGCAAGGTTCAGCAGGGTCAGAGTCCCTGTGGGCATCCCCTGAGAAAGCAAAGTGTGGAGATATGATGAGGAAGCTGAAGCTGCAGTGGAAACCCCCAAGATTAAGAAATGCTTTTAACATGGGACATCATCCTAGGAAAGCTGCAAGAATCTAGCAGAAATAAGCCAACAGGAAGGCCACTTGGGCTGCAACCAACAAAGCCACAGGGGTGGAACTACACAAGCCCTTTGGAGAGAATACCACAATGCCATATGTCCCAGTTGCTGGATATGAAGCTACAAGACTTGTTTGCTCAGCTGGATTTTGGTCTTGCTTTGATCCTATCTCTTCTTTCTATGCCCCTAATTTTGTGAATGGAAATATTTACTCTGTACCATTATATATTGTATACCTGTAAATTGCTTTTGTTTTTACAGGACCTCAAAATGCAAGATTGCCTTGAGCTTCAGAGAAGACTTTGGACTTGAACTTTGAGCAATCTTGGAAGAGTTGACACTATAGGGAGTTTTGGGAATGGACTAAATGTATTTTACATTGTCAGATGAGTGTGAGCTTCTGGGGGCCAGGGCTGGAAAGTTATGGTTTGAATGTGAGTGTACCCCAAAAGCTCAGGTGTGAGACAATGCAAGAAGATTCAGAGGAGAAATGACTGGGTTGTTAAGAGTCCTAACCCAGTCAGCGAATTAATTCCCTAACAGTGATTAGCTGAGTGGTAACTGAAGTGGTAGGGTGTGGCTAGACAAGGTGGGACATTGGAGGCGTGGCTCTGGCATGTATATTTGTATTTGGCAAGTGGAGACCTCTCTCTGCTTTCTGATCACCATGTGAGCTGCTTCCCTCTAATACACTCTTCTGCTATGATGTTCTGCCTCACCCTGAGCCCAGAGGAATGGAGCCTGCTATCTATGGATTGAGACTTCTGAAACCATGAGCCCCTAAATGAACTTTTCCTCCTTTAAAAAAAAAAATCATCTTAAGCATGAGGAAAAGAGCACAGAGCTCAGTAGGGGTACAGCTGGTTTGTAAGGCAGGCTTCTGTGGTAAGCCCACGTTATACTTCTTTCAGTGTAGATTACAGGGAGGTTCTTATAGCTCACAACTACATAGCTCACAACTCAATTATTTCTCCTTCCTCTTTTCATTTGTATTCTCACTCTTCCTCCCAACTTTTATCTCCAGGCATTTTAATTTATATTCATTTGACAACTTTTACTTTCCTTAGGAAAGCTGCCAAAGGTAATGATAACTGAGAAGGAATCATAATGAGCAAAGGGAAAACATTTCAAAATCAAGGTAAAATTAAGAAAAAAAAAAAAAAAACAGCTGCTACTTCAAGATTTTTCCAGATTTATATAGCTACTTCATCCCCCTGGCCTTCATGGTCACATTTTGTTCCTAAGTTCTGTCAGTGAACCCACAGGAGCTTGCTATCAATTGTGTAATTCTCAAAGGAAAAAAGGACTTAAACCATTGTGACCTAAAGAATGGATGTGGCTGAAATACCCTCTTACTTTCCCTTCTTTTTTCTTGTCCTTCATCTGTTCTTTTAAAAAATCACAGCTAATGAAAGACCAGAAATAAAAATATTATTAATTATCATAAGCATCTTAATAATATGTTGCTTTTTAAACTATGCATATTACTTTAGTAAAATTATTAAAGTTTAGAAAACTGAAGTATAGCTATCTAGAAATTTTTAACACTATATGGAAAAATTAAACTCAGCCTATACACTTATGGATTTATACTATATGCCAGGCAACCAAAATATGAGTTTAGACAATAAGTTAAACTAATGTCAACTACTCCAAAGAATTACAATTGTAGCATACAAAGGGATAGAAATGTGGGATTAATTAAGTATAAACTAAGTGGAGAATATGTGCTTCTGGGGCCTACTACATAAAAATGATGGCCATCTTCTACTAAATTTCTCCATCGTGTTATATTATACATATAAATTATCACTAATCCTCATAACAAGCCTAGATCAGACAAATTTCACAAATGAGTAAAAGATAGTACCAGAATTTTAATAAGACTGACTCCAAGTTCATATTCTTTCCATTGTGACATAAAAAATACATATCCAATTTAAATTTAGGAGAAAAAAAATTATGTTTTTTATTCCTATTCTATGTAACAGCAGCTAATTTTTACCATACCCCATGGTCAAGGCTGACATTCAGCTGCTATGTTCTGATGTGGCAATAAGAACAGAAAGCTGTACTGATTGGTTGGATGTCTGTTCCGCTTGATTGGTGCCCCTGTCATATTGATCATTAACGATTTTGATTATCACACCTATACAAGGAACAGAACTCTGAGTTCTCAAATACTTCAAATATTTACATATTTGAAGTCATAAAATAACACTTTATGACACATAATAACATTTATGCCTATAGGTATCCCAGCTCTACTTATGAGCAAACCTTGGCTGGTCTTCCCTCTAAGTAAGAACATGTTAAGATGCCCGACTTTAGTAGAAGCCTAATCTTTGCCATATTTATATATGCCAAATCATGGGGCACATCTTTAAATCAGCAGTATTTTTAAATACAAAATTATTATACTCTAGCTTTCTGTCAGCGAGTCAACCTTGAAGTATCTATCATCTTGCTTTTTCTTGCATTACACAGAAAAAGGACCTCAGAGGTTTTTTCCTTAAAATATCAAGGATTCAAAAATTCAAAAATGAAGATTTTCAAGAAGCCAACTTGAAATCATAACAAAAAGAAATGTGATTTACTTCTGAGAGCTTCATGCACTAGATTTATTTGTAAGTTAATTATGAGAAAACTAGTTTGCCTGTAAAATGTTGTACAAGCTCCCTCAACTGGCTAAAATACAGAACTACCAAAAAACATGTTCCATTAAATTGACTGTATCTTCTTCTTCAGAAATTTCTGCAACTCCAGCCTGAGATCGAAGAATGGATATGATGTCATTAGATAATTTGTCAAAGCCATTCTGTAAACATATATTTGCCAATTGTTGCCACATTTCTAGGGAGCAATATGAATCATTTATCACAAGATGTTCTACTGCATCTGAGAAGAAAAATACAATATTACAGTATAGTACTTATCTGATAATCCACACTTAGTGATTCTCTTCTTCTTTTTCTTTTTTCAGTACAGGGGACTGAACCCAGGGGCCCTTAACCGTTGAGTTCTATCCCCGGTCGTTTCTATTTTTTGAGACAGGCTCTCGCTAAGTTGCTTAGGACCTCACTAAATTGCCCAAGCTGGCCTCAAACTTATGATCCTCCTACCCCAGCCTCCCAAGCCACTGGGACTACAGGCATGTGCTACCATGCTGTGTTTAGTGATTCTTCAAAAAAAAAAAAAGGGACATAGTTTCACCTGAGTTACTTTTGAACTCTACCTGATTTCCATTAAGTTTAATGATATAACATTTAGTATGCTTAGACCTGCTCAGGTTAAGTTTTCAACTGTTAGTTCCTTCTCCCCCTTTATCATTTCTCAGTTCAGCCCTCTACCACTTTCCACATTCCACACTTCTCCACTCATCTCCTTTTGCATAAGGTAGTAGACACTCTGAAGGCTATAAGGTAAGGAGCTCAGAAAGTGAAGAGTGTGGGCTCTTCCTTATTCACAGAGCCTATAATGCTCTACCAGAATTTGTCAAATAACTAAGGATCTGTTGCCCGAGTTCTCATGATTCTTCAAGCACTTCAGTAAATGCCTTAGTAGTGCTGTCCCAAGGGTTTCAGAAACTCTTAGGCAAATCTTCCACCATTTCCCTAAATGGAAGCCTCGAAGCCACATCCTTAATGTGGTTTCTATAGCAAATGGTTTTCTAAAGAAATAATTTTGTTTTTAAGTGAAATCTAATGACATTATTTACTTTTAAAAGTCAATTAGTGACTCTGTGATCTATCAATTTATGTAATTAATTTTTTTAATTAGTGCATTATAATTATACATAATAGTGAGATTCTACAAAATGAATTTCTTACCAATTACCTGCATTTACTTAGTGATACTTAATAAAAGAGGATTTCTCTTTGGAATAGTTACTGCTATTATTTTATTTATACCACAATTGTAATTTATTTTCCTATCAAATATTTTAGATAATATCTGTAATGAGAATTTCAAAATATTAAATTATCTTCACAAATATGTTTTCAGGCAATTACATGTGGTGGTAAACATCTGTAATTCCAGCAATTTGGGAAGATGAGGCAGGAGGATTGCAAGTTCAAAGACAGCCTCAGCAACTTAGTAAGGCTCTGAGCAACTTAGTGAGATCCTATCAAAATAAAAAATAAAAAGGGCTGGGGATGTGGCTCAGTGGTAAAGCACCTCTGAACTTTACTCAACCCCCAGTATCAAAAAATAAAAATAAAAAATGAAATCAAACTGTCTGCTCAAATTCATGTTAAATTAATGAAAGAGAAAAAAGTGAATTTTTAAAAATTCTCTATCCCACTGCAGTTCAGTTCAGAATGATTATCATATTAAATATTCATATATTTGGTTTAGAAATTAAAATACATGTTTATATCTAAATAATATTTAATAAAATACACATAAAATATTGCTAAAAGTACACATACAGGCTGGGGATGTGGCTCAAGCGGTAGCGCGCTCGCCTGGCATGCGTGCGGCCTGGGTTCGATCCTCAGCACCACATACAAAGATGTTGTGTCCGCTGAAAACTAAAAAATAAATATTAAAATTCCCCCCCCCCTCTCTCTTTCCCTCTTTAAAAAAAAAGTACACATACATTAATATATGTAAAGTTTTATAATTTATAAAAGTGTTAGCTATCAATTGTTATTGCATTCCCCTCTGGCTTTAAAAAGATTTTCTCTTCATTCTAATTCTCTTAAGAAATATATAGTATTGTCAATAGACTATTATTGGCATGGAATTGTTATATTTACAAACTCCTAACTCTTTTTTTGCAGGGAATACTATCCCTAGTATTCCCCTAACACTTTTTATTTTTGTATATTGAGATAGGATCGCACTAAATTGCCCAAACTGGCCTCCAAATTGAAATCCTCCTGCCTCAATCTCCCAAGTAGCTGGGATTACAGGCATGTGCCAATGTTACCAGCCTCAAATTAATTCTTTTTCTTTTTTATTTTTTTATACCTTTATTTTATTTATTTATTTTTATGGTGCTGAGGATCAAACCCAGAGCCTGGCACGTACTACCTCTAAGTGCTCTACCTCTAAGCCACAACCCCTCAGATTAATTCTTGCTAAGAAGGAACCCTAAGGAAAATTTGTGTTAACTTGTACATAACTATCTTGAACCTTTCCTTAAATAATCCACTAATATTTCTTTCACAACAACATTTTACTCTACTTACCTGTCCCACCTTTGTTTATTTCTTGGAGTAGCTTAATGCCAACTTTTTCCATATTCACAGAGAACAGATGAAGTATGGCAAGTCCAAAAGATAAAAATGGTGGTCTCCCATTCTTTTCTTCAGTGAGACATTGAATTAGTTCAGTTTGAGGACATAATGTTATTAGCTTCATCAGGTCATCTGAAAGTAAAAATGAAAAACTATCTCAGCATCCTGATATAACCTAGGTGTTTCAAAATTCTGAAATAAACATTATTTCCTTAGTTTTTTCAATTTTAATACTTTAGAATATTATATATGACAGATAAGTTCAGTAATTTTAAAATAGCCCTATGTAGCCTGGTCCAGCATATCCATTAAAGTTATCTTTAAGAGTATATATTTCCATTTATACCCAAAGGACTTAAAATCAACATACTACAGTAATGCAGCCACATCAATGTTTATAGTAGCTCAATTCACAATAGCTAAACTATGGAACCTACCTACCTAGGTATCCTTCAATAGATGAATGGATAAAGAAAATGTGGTATATATATTCAATGGAATATTGCTTATCTTCAAAGAAGAATAAAATTATGGCATTTGCCAATAAATGAATGGAGTTGGAGAATATCATGCTAAGCGAAATAAACCAATCCCAAAAAACCAAAGGCCGAATGTTTTCTCTAATATGTGGATGCTAACTCACAATAAGGCGGTGGGAAGGGGGGTGGGGGGGCACTAGAGAAGAATAGTGTTACCTTAGATTAGGTAGAGGGAAGTGAAGGGAAGAGAGGGGATAAAGGGATATGAAAGATGGTGGAATTAAACAAACATTATTACTTTATGTATATGTGTGACTGCATGACCAATATGATTCTGCAACATGTACACTCAGAAAAAAGAGAAATTATATCCTATCTATGTATGATATATCAAAGTGCATAAATGCATTCTACTGTCATGTATAACTAATTAAAACAAGATTTTTTAAAAGACTATATATTTCTAATATCATCTAATTTACTAATGTTTTGGGAAAATGCATAATGAATTTTAATGTCTACCATGAAATTCAATTAGCTCCATCTTAACTATTTTCATGAAAAATTACAAAAGAAATATCCTACTTATCAATATGTATAAAATAGATTCTATAATGTAAATTTAAAATAATGCCTGCCGTGATCAGTGATCTTAGAAGTCAAGTCCAGAATTTGAATGTACACAAATAAGTAGTCTCTTTTATTTACCAGGAGTAAAGTCCTTGAATTGTTGTAAGTATTCTATGGCCCCATGGATCTGACCCTGTTTACACAGGCAAAGGAGAACTTTCTTATGCAGGCCACATTCACTGTAGATAATCTGAGCTAAAGCCAGGCACTTGGCTTTGTTAAAAGTATCTTGTTCCCCATAATCATAAATCACATCCCCAGCCTTCTCTGAAAATGTCAGCCTAGAGCAAGCAGATCAATAAGGCACACATTAGAGAAATCTTGATGAGTAGCTGAGACTGAAATATTTGAAAATTCAGCATGACTTCTCTATACCTTATAATGATTCCAAATCAGTAGACAATTGATATAAAAGAAATTAAACATATCTGAGATTTAACAACAACAAATGAACAAGTATTATTTGAGGGGAAGACATTTTGGTGAAACTGATATCAAGTTTTTAAAACATCTACAAACCCCAGCAACTCAGGAGGCTGAGGCAGGAGGATCACAAGTTCAAGGCCAGCCTCAGAAATTTAGCAAGACCCTGTCTCAAAAGAAAAAAAAAATCAGATTAAAAAAAATCTATAAACAAAGTTAAAACTCTCCTGATAATATCGACAGGACTTAAAATTACAAGATAAACAAAACTTCTCTTAGAATTGGGGGTCACAATATTCTCAGCAGCTACATAGAGTCCAGAACTGTAGAATATAAAGAACTTATTAATTGTTGGTTAAAGATAGAACAATTTTACCTCAAAATTAGTGATAGATCTTTCAAGAAACATTTGTACTAAAAAGAAAACAGAGAAAGTATGACAGCATTGTTACTTTTAAAATTTGTTATAGATTTATAAGAAGCAACGGGGGAGAAAAGACATAACTGTGCCTATTAGGAGAGATAAAAACTGAAGAAGCACTTCTTTTGAGACAGCTTGATCGAATAGATTTCATTTGCCTTTTTTTTTTTTTTTTTGGTACTAGGGATTGAACCCAGGGATGCCTAGCCACTGAGCTATATCCCTAGTCATTTTCAGGTTTTATTTTGAGACAGGGTCTCACGTTGGGTCTCCATAAGTTGCTAAGGCTGGCTTTGAACTGGCAATACTCCTGCCTCAGCCTCCAGAGCAGCTGGGATTACAGGCCTGTACCATCATGCCCAGCTGTCATTATATCTTAATTTTCCATCTTCACACACAGTTAAAGTGAATCATCTGTATTATCACAGTAACTCTTCCTAGAAATCATCAGCATGAGCAATAAGAACATCTGGGTATAATTAAAGATATCACTTTTAATTTCTGTTTGATAAAGGCTTGATAACCAAGGTCATCCTACCAGGCAAGTCATCAAAACCAACAGAAGTGCAAGAATAAAAAAAAATTTTAATTAGATGACAGAAGAGAAAGATAATTAGTACTATTTAGTATGGATGAATCTGAAAATAATTATAAGTGAAAGAAGCCAATCCAAGAAGAAAAAAGAATACATAACTGTATAATTCCATTAATATAAAATTCTAGAAAATTCTATAAACTATTCTACAGTGATAGAAAGCCAATCTGTTGTTACCTGGGTATAGAAAGGGAGGTGGTCAGAATAAGGAAATGGAGGAAGGAAGGAGCAATACAGGAAGTATAAGGAAACAGTTGAGAGTTATGTATGTTAAATTACCTTGATTATGGTAAAGATTTCATGAGTATATACTTATGTCAAAATTTGTCAAATTCTGTACTTTGAATATGTTGAGTTTTTGTTTGTCAGTTATATCCCATTAATGCTTTTTCTAATCAAACTCATCAAATTATATTCTCTAAGTATGTGTAGCTTATTGCATGTAAATTTTACCTCAATAAAGTTATAAAAAAAAACAAATTATGTAGTATCCTACATAGTAACAGGAGCTACAGTATGTCCCACTAACTCTCCTCAAGAATTATGTTTCCCTAGGAATTAAGACCACAGAATCCTGCAGAAGTTGGATACTTTTTTTTTTCAGCAACTTATCAAGAAAGATAACTCAGTGAGACCCTGTCTCAAAATAAAACCTGAAAAGGACTAGGGATATAGCTCAGTGGCTAGGCATCCCTAGGTTCAATCCCTAGTACCAAATACTTTTTTTAGGGGGGGGGTGGGTATGAGGATTGAACTCAGGGGCACTTGACCACTGAGCCACATCTCCAGCCCTATTTTGTATTTTAGAGACAGGGTCTCACTGAGTTGCTTAGTGCCTCAGGCTGGCTTTGAACTCGTGATCCTCCTGCCTCAGCCTCCCAAACTGCTGGGATTACAGGTGTGCATCACTGTGCCCTGTGAGTATACGTTTTTTTGTGTGTGTGGTGCTGGGGATTGAACCCAGGGCCTTGGGCATGAGCAGCAAGCACTCTATCAACTTAACTATATCCCCAACCCCGTGTATACTTTAATGTGAGAATCAAATAGAATGACTTTGTGCAACTGGTTGACTGGAATTGATGCCACTCAAATGTCCCATCCAAATTTTCCCTACAGGGCCAGAATATTCTTCCTGATAGAAAAATATAAAAGACTGGTCCATTACATCAAGGAAGAACAGCTCTATAGTGTGGTTTATGCTCCTGAGCAATAAATTAGGCCAAGTAGACTTTGTCTGAGGCCATATCCTTGCTTGACTCTTTCCCCCTCCCTATTCTATTTCACTCATTTCCTAATGTATTTCCTGAGAAGCCCTACCTCTATTAATCATATTCACCCAAATTCTTGTCTTCAGGCTTTGGTTCTAGGGAACCTAACCTCAAAGAGCTAGCACAAAAACTGCCAATCTGTGCTGAGATTCAGCTTCAAGAAGTCACCTCTCGCCTGTCACCTTGCCTGCTTTATGTGTTCTTTATCATCTTGGTCCATATTCTTCCTGCTTATACACTGTCTCTTGGCTGTATTCTTTACATGTCCCCACAGCCTATCCAGAACCAGATTTGAATCTGCCTTTTCTCTCCCAATCAGCATAATACTGACCAATCCTTCTCTATTCTTTTTTTTAAATTTTTTTTTCTTTTTTAAAAATTTTTTAAAATTTATTTTGCATTACAATTCTTAATACACCATTATACCATAATTTATCATATCTCTGATTATATATGTTGACATCAAATTCACATCTTCATACATGTATTTTGTATAATGATGAGGGTCTCCTTTCACCACTTCTTTATTCTTATTGCTCAACTTCCATCTATCATTAGGTTCTTTTTTTTTTTTAAGAGAAAGAGAGAGAGAGAAAGAGAGAGAGAGAGAGAGAGAGAGAGAGAGAGAGAGAGAGAGAGAGAGAATTTTTAAAAAATATTTATGTATTTTTTTTTTAGTTCTCGGAAGACACAACATCTTTTGTTTGTATGTGGTGCTGAGGATCGAACCCAGGCCGCACGCATGCCAGGTGAGTGCGCTACCGCTTGAGCCACATCCCCAGCCCCTCATTAGGTTCTTACAAATCACCTTGGAGAGTGCTGTCACTCAACTCTTTATTTGTGCTTATTGTGACTAAGTCTCATTACTCTGTGAATGCTTAGTAAATACTTTCTGATTAACTGCAACAGGGACCTGATCTAAATTAAATGCTCAAATAATGTATTGATATGAAAACTATTATAATTTTTAGACCAAACAATAATATTAACAAAATGTCACAATTAAGATTTAATTTTGCTTACTTTTCCTGGGTGACCCAGTTGATAACTAAATCCAGCCGTTTTTCAGATAATCCACATTTGATTCCTTCTAGGGTTAGATCTGCATCAACAGGAGTTTTAAAAGCATGGCTTGTGCTAAATATAGCCTCAAAAAATAAGAGTAATGGAAGAGTTTTTCCTCTAATTTTTCCAATAGCTACAAGAAAAATGTTAGAATCAAATATTTTAAGAAAGTTTGCTATTTCTTATTTCATATTATTATTTTCATTTCTGCATTTTCTAAAAACTTAGTATTACGTATAGATTAAACTTTATATATTGGATGAGGACTAAATATCATTATTTACACCCTGTGAAGATGGAGGCAGAAATTAGAGTGATCCGTCTACAAGCCGAGATATGCAGAAAAGTTGCTAACAGTGACTAGAAGGTAGGCAAGCCCACTTAGAGTCTCCAGAAGAAACCAACCCTGCTGACACCTTGATTTCAGACTTTTGGCCTCCAGAACTGTGAGAAAACAAATTTATTTTATTTCAAGTGACAGAGTCTCCCATTAATGGTGTGACCAAAAAGAAAAAAAAAAACAAAACCTGATTTGAATAAAGAACACAAAAGATGTAGTTATAAATACATTGAGGATAAAATTCCTCATGCAGGGGCTGGAGTTGTGGCTCAGTGGTGGAGTGTTTACCTTGCATGTGTGAGGCACTAGGTTCAATCCTCAGCACCACACAAAAATAAATAAATAATAAGGATATTGTGTCCAACTACAACTAAGAAAAAAAAATTTTAAGTCCTCAAGCAAACTACATTGCTCTATAACCAAATGAGAAAAATATAAAACTGGGTATTCAGAACTACATATTTAGCCAGACTATAGACCTTAACTTTGAAAATAATTCAATGAGAATAATAAATTAGAATCCTTAAAAAATAATGTGAAGCTGGGATTACACCTGTAATCCCAGCAGCTCGGAGGCTGAGGCAGGAGAAACTCAAGTTCAAAGCCAGCCTTAGCAATTTAGCAGGGCCCTAAGCAACACAGTGAGACTCTGTCTCTAATAAAATATGAAAAAAGGGCTGGGGATGTGGCTCAGTGGTTACATGCCCTGAGTTCAATCCTTGGTATCAAATGATAATAATGTATATTAATTGTACAAAATAATGGGTTTCTTTGTGGTATTTTCATACATGCATATAATGTATTTTGATCTTATTTACCCTCACTGTTACCTCTCTTACCACTTCCTCCTGATCCTTGGTTCCTCTCCCCTTCCCTAACAGTACCCTTTCTACTTTCATGCTGCCTAGCCCGCCCCCCTCCAGATTCCACACTAGAGAAAACATGTGATACTTGTCTTTCTGGGTCTGGCTTATTTTATTTAACATGATGAGCTCCAATTCCATCCACTTTCTTGCAAATCACATGATTTCATTCTTCTTCAGGGATGAATAATACTCCATTGTGTTTATGTGTATATACATGAACTGATAAAAACGTGATACATAGATGTATATACACACCCTGACACGCACATATGAACAGTTCATTTGTTGATGGGAATCTAGGTTGATTCCACAACTTGCCTATTGTATATAGTGCTGCAATAAAGATGCACATGCAGTTCTCTCTATTGTATATGGTAGTTCCATTTTTGTTTGAGGAAATTCCATACTAAAATTCCATAGTGGCTATATTAGTTTACCCTCCCACCAACAGTGTATTCCTTTTCCCCTGCAACCCTGAGAGCTATTTTATTTTTTTAAAAAAATTTTTTTTATGTGGTGCTGAGGATCGAACCCAGGGCCTCACTCATGCTAGGCGAGTGCTCTACTGCTGAGCCACAACCCCAGCGCCCCCCCAAGAAGCTTTTTAATTTGATAAAATCCCATTTGTCCATTCTTGCTATTACTTCCTGAGCTACTGGAGTCTTGTTGAGGACACTGTTGTCTATACCAGTATCTTGAAGTATTTCCCCTGTTTTCCTCTAATAATTTCAAAATTTCAGGTATTATATTAAGGTCTTTGATCCATCTTGAATTAGTTTTTGTGAGAGATGGGGATCTAGTGTCAATCTTTTACATGCAGATACCCAGTTTTCCCAGCACCATTTATTGAAGAAGCTGTCTTTTCTCCAGCATGTTTTTGGCTCCTTTCTCAATAGTCAGATGACTGCAGATAGGTGGATTTATTCCTGGATCCTCTATTCTATTCCATGATTCTATGTACCTATTTTTATGACAATATCATACAATACATGGCATATTTTGAAATCAGGTATTATGATTCCTCCATCATTGTTCTTTTTACTCAGGATTGCTTTTGACTATTCAGGTGTTTTGTGCTTCCATATGAACTTGATTAGTTTTTCTAGTTATGTGAATAATGCCATTAGTATTTTTTAATTTTTTTTTACATGTTGATGGACCTTTATTTTATTCATTTATTATATGCGGTGCTAAGAATTGAACCCAGGGACTCACACATGCTAGGCAAGTGTTCTACCACTGAGCCACAACTTCCAGGCCAGTCATTAGTATTTTGATGGGGATTGTATTGAATCTGCAGATAGCTTTCAGCAATATGGTCATTTGAACAGTATTAATTCTCCCAACCCATGAATATGGGACATCTTTCCAACTTCCATTATTTTCTTCAATATTTTTTCAGTGTTTTATAATTTTCATTGTAGAGGTCTTTCAACTCCTTAATTAGGTTTATTCCTACTGTTTTTGGTTTTGTTTTGTTTTTGAGATAATTGTGAATATGACCATTTTCCTTATTTCATTATTGGTGGATATAGGAAAAGCTGCCAATTTTTGTATGGTGATTTTGTATCCTGCTACTTTGCTCAATTTATCAGTTCTAAGATAATTATGGTGGACTCTCCAGAATTTTCTAGGTATAGAATCATATCATCTACAAACAAAGCTAATTTAACTTTTTCTTTTTCTATTTGTATCCATTTTCTTTCTTTCTCTTGCCTGACTGCTCTGCTAAAGTCTTCAATGCTAAATAAGAGTGTTAAGAGTGTACATCCTTGTCTCATTCTTGATTTTAAAAAAGATTCTTTGTTTTTCTCCATTTAGTATGATGTTGACTATGGATTTTTCACATATAGCCTCTATATCCTGAGATATGATCCTGTATATATAATTCATTAAAGGTTTTTATCCTGAAGGGATGCTGAATTTTATCAAAGGCTTTTCTGCATCTATTGAGATGATTATATAATTTTTATATTTGATTCTATTTATGTAGTGAATTACATTTATTAATTTGCAAATGTTGAATCAGTCTTGCATCCCAGAATGAGACCAACTTGACCTCAGTGTATGATATTTTTAATGTGATATTGAATTCAATTTGCAAGTATTTTATTGAGGATTCTGCATCTATGTTCATCAAGAATATTGGTCTACAATCATCTTTTTTGTTCTTCTTTTTTTTTTTTTTTTTGATATGTCTTTTTCAGGCTTTGGTAGTATAGTAATTTTGGCTTTGTAAAAAGAGTTTGGGAGAGTTCCTGTGTATGCCTTTGTCTGTTTATAGAGTAATTTGAGAAACATTGGTATTCACTCTTCAAAAGTCTGGTACAATTCAGCAGCGAACCCATCTGGTCCAGGACTTTACTTTGCTTAAGACTTTATTATTGCTTAGGTCTGATGCTTGTTATTGGTCTATTTACATTTTCTTATATCATCTTGATTCAATTTTTGGCAGGTCATATATGTTCAGAAAATTTATTGGCATGTAGTACTTAAAAAATATGTCCTAATGATCCTCTGGATTTCACTGGTATTTGTGAAATACTTTTTCATCTCTAGTTTTATTTATTTGGTTCTTCAATTTTGGTTAGTATGGTTAGGGATTTGTCAATTTTATGCTTTCAGAGAATCAACTCTTTGTTCATTGTATTGTTTTGCTTTTTTAGTCTCTATTTATTTCTCTCTGACATTTATTATTTCTTTTTTTCTACTGACTTTGAGGATTGGTTTGTTCCTGTTTTTCTTTTCTTTTTCTTTTTTTTGAGGGGGGCCCAACGGGGATTGAACCCAGAGGCACTTAACCAATAAACTACTGTACTTTTTCTATGTTTAAATATATAAATACTTATTCTTGTGTTACAGTTGCCACAGTATTCAGTATAGTAATATGCTGTATAGGTTTGTGGTTTAGGAATAATAGGCTATACCATATCGCCTAGGCTATTCCATCTAGGGTTTTTAAAGTGTGTTCTGTGCTATTTGCACACTGATAAAATTGCCTGACAACCTGTCAGTACACAGTACACATGACTTTAAAAATGAAATATATTATTGTACAAGAGACGGTATAAATAACATACACATATTATGTACTTTAAATACACACAACTTGTTGTATGTATGTCAATTTATGAAAAGAAAGTTGTTTTTTAAAAGGATATGCCTGCCTATCGGGCACAGTGGTGCATGCCTGTAATCCCAGCTACTTAGAAGGCAATAGGGAGAATCATAAGTTCAAGGCCAGCCTTGGCAACTTAGTGAGACCTTTCTCAAAATAAAAAATACAATGGACTGAGAGTGTAGCTCAGTAGTAGAGCACCCTTGGGTTCAATCCTCAATATAAAAAAAATAAGTAAATTTGACGAAATATTAACATTCATTACATTTTGATAGTGAGTATATGAGTGTTAATACATTTCTCCATATTTTCTATATACTTGTAATATATCAAAATTTAAGTTAGAAAAACTATTCAAAGTCCTTAATTTTAACAGTAAATGACAGAGATAGGGCTGGAGTCTAGATCTAATCTTTAGTCTCTCAGTTTAATATTCTTTATATTCTATCAAGAAAAAAAAAGTATAATTTACATACATGGATAAGGTTTGGAGAGAGATGCTTACCCTTAAATTTATCCATTGAACCCATGTTTCGAAGAATCCTTCTAGGACTGCTTGCTGCAAAATAAGCTGCCTTTTCATATTCACCAAGTGACATTAGTTCATTGAACCTAGAGCCATTGCATTGTATAATGGTACACAAAAAAGTAAGAACGCTGATTAGAAATATCTAATACGAAGTAAGTATAGTGGCATAATATAGAAGAACAAAAAACAATTCTAACGAACTATGACTAGATTTGTTTACTTAGAGGCTGTTCATTCAATTTTTTCTCTAATATTCTTGGGGGTGTTTTGTTTTATCTCATTATAAAACAAAGCTGACTTTGAACTTGATCCTGTACATATTCCAATAGTACTTAGTCGAATGCCCCTGAGTTTAATCCCTGGGAGGGAGGGAGGGGAGGGAGGGAAGGGAGGGAAGGAAGAAGGAAGGAAGGAAGGAAGGAAAGAAGGAAGGAAGGAAAAAGAAAAGAAAAGAAATTCTCAAAAGAACATTTAAGACCAGTAAATTGATGGCTAGGGAATGCAAGAAAAATGTAAATAAAATTTATATCAACACTACAATCCTCTTATCTTCTCTGAAATGTCTGCTATAAGCTGTGGGGTTTTTTTCCATAAAAAATGAAATTCTACTTTATGTTCTAAATTTTCAACTAAAATAGAATTTTAAAGATATAAAAACCAAAGACTACAGCTTATCAAAATACTAAATAAATGATAAACATGGTCACTTAAATGTAGAAAATCAAAGTTTTAAAAATATTTGCCTTTCAATGTAGTACAGTATAATTTCAGCATTTTTTGCCTTGCTTGGATCATCTTCAAGCAGTTCTTCAACAAAGCCTTGGTCAACTATAAATGCTAAAAGGACCAACATAAGATATTTAAGGTTATTTACCAATAAAAAATAATAAACATACTTTTTTTTTTTTTTGGTGGTGCTGGGGATTGAACCCAGGACCTTGTGTGTGCAAGGCAAGCACTCTACCAACTGAGTTACACCCCAGCCCATAAACATACATTTAATACTGCTTTGGTTTCCAACAGTACCAACCTCTTCCTAAACTGAGTGGCATCCCTGTCCCTTTGCTCCTTATTTTCAGTTCATTTTAAGGATTCCCTCTTTGGCTCACAAAGTCTATTCTTAACTAATATCTGACAACTGCTGAGGGAAGAAACCCATAGGATATCAGAGAACTAGTAGAGGTAAGTATATTTAAAAAAAAATTTTTTTTAGTTATAAATGAACAAATGCCTTTATTTTACTTTATGTGGTACTGAGGATCCAACCCATTGCCTCACACATGCTAGGCGAGCGTTCTACCTCTGAGCCACAACCGCAGGCCGAGGTAAGTGTATTTTTGTTTTCTTTAAACTCAGTTCATTCTTAGTTTTCTAGGGGAAAAATATTTCCTACTACTTGTGCTAATTTAAAAATGTAGTAAGCTACCATGAAAATCTTTGGTTTTCTGAATTTCTTCCACGAAGTCTTCAAATGTTTTGCTCTTATCAGATTTTACCCATGAAGAAAGTGCATATAAAATAATCTGCAGTCTTTGATGACTATAAAGATAAAAACATCAACAAAATACTAAGCCTAAAATTGAAAGGTAGAATATTAAAATAAACAAATAAAACCTTTAAACTTTAAAAACATACAATCAACTTTCATACCGAAACTGTAATTTTTCATTCAGATTTTCAGCTATATCTCGCCGTTTTAATAACACAATCATTTCCTCATCAAAATCAGCCATCCTTTGAATTGGTACATATTTTACCAACATAGCTTGCTTCATTTCTCTGTATTTATCTTCAAGGTGTTTCCTGAATTTCCTGAGAGCATTTAGATTGACAGAATCTTGGAGAGTCATGCCTATGAGAAGAGGAAATAAATCAACAGGCCAAGCAATTTTTGGGACTCTTGTGCTCAGACAGTGTCTCAGCAAAATAGAGCAGAGATTCCAATGCTAAGAAATAATTCAGAAGTAGTAGCATGTACTTACAGCTCCTGACATAAGCAAAATTAGCATAAAATTGCAAAAGGCTAGCAGTTTTAAACATCACCAATGAAGACCCAGTTAAGATTGCTTGTTCTAGTTGGACACAGTGGTACATGCCTGTAATCCCAGTGGCTCAGGAAGCTGAGACAGAAAGATCGCAAGTTCAAAGTCAGCCTCTGCAATGGCAAGGCACTAAGCAACTCAGTGAGACCCTGTCTCTAAAATAAAACACAAAATAGGGCTGGGGATGTAGCCAAGTGGTTGAGTGCCCCTGGGTTCAATCCCCAGTACCAAAAAATAAAAAGAAAAAAAAATTGCTTGTTTGAGAACACACAAACCTTAACATCTGCAAATTTTTAATATATATATACATATATATATATGTATATATATACATTATATATATATATATATATATATATATATATATATTTATAGATGGACACAATACCTTTAATTTTTTTTTTAATGTGGTTCCGGGGATCAAACCCAGTGCCTCACACATGCAAGGCAAGCGCTCTACCACTGAGCCACAACTCTAGCTCTTGAAATTTTTTTAATTACCTCATCAGTACTGCCTGAAAACTCCTAAATATCACCAAAAGCCTCTGCCTAATAACTAAGGATTGAATCAACAAATTTCCGTTTCCCATTATTTACAAAAATTAACCCCAATATAATCACCTTATTTTTTCCAACACAAAACTTATAAATGCCTGCCAAAACTCTAGTTATCTCTTCCTCTCTTGCTGTCCCCTGAATTAATTATTCCTAACTCAAACACTTCAAATGTCTTCCTTTCTCATCTGGGCTAATTGCTAACTTTATGAAATACCTCAAAATTCCACTCCTCCAGAACCACTCTGGATTAACCCTACTGGATTTTAATCACTCCCTTGTCCTGTATCTTCTCACCAATTTATTTGTCAGTTATTCTGTACTTATTCATATATATCTTTTTTTAAAACAATTGTTTTAAATATTTATTTTTTAAGTTTTAGGTGGACACATATCTTTTATTTTACATTTATATGGTGCTGAGGATCGAACCCAGGGCCTCGTGCATGCTAGGCGAGCACTCCACCGCTGAGCCACGACCCCAGCCCCTATTCATATATCTTATTTGAAGTTTGCTAGTCACAATTTTATATTTATATTTGAAAATGAATTTAGACAAAAAAATAGAATGTGAATCTTTATTTCCACAAAATGCAAGATGATCATTCAAAGTTAGTAAAAATCCTTTAGTATAGAGTAGCTTATTACTTCAAGGAAGAGCCTCTTCCATTTAGACCAAATCTGGCATCCTACAATTTCCACTTATTGATTCTACCAAGTAAATATCTTTTAAGTTTTGAATATCATTACCTATTTTCAAAGTCTTTATTTTCTCCAGGATAAATACTTAACAACTACTTTATATATTCACCATACAAACCTCTACAAATCCTACTGAATTCCAAGATACACTCCAATTTCTTAAAATATGTATTATACTAAGATGTTGAAACAGTGAATGAAGACATAAACACAAATAATAATAAGATGCATGAGAACAATATCCTACATTTTTTCCATACATTATAACAGCGGTTCTGAAATTTTATAATACATCATAATAACCAGAACTGGATAAAACATTGACTGCCAGACTCAATCACTGGGTTTCTAACTTAGTAAGTCTGCAGTGAGACCCAATAATTTGGATTTCTAACCAATTTCCAGGTGATGCTGATATTGATACAAGAACCATACTTTGAGTCACTGCTTTATACTTCATATAACCCTGACAGATTGGAATGCTTAAAATGTTTTAGGGTTGTTTAAAGTTTTCTATTTTCCATGTATCCGTCTAGAACACTGACTAAAGTTGTTTTGTAACATACAACTGATAGATATAAACATGTCAGCATGCTTATATAAATTTGTATAATAGGTAGTAACTGGAAATAGTTGGGCTTTCTCTCGAATATTTTTTAAATACTTTTTTAGTTATAGTTGGACACACACACAGTATCTTTATTTTATTTATTTATTTTTATGTGGTGTTGAGGATTGAACCCAGTGCCTCGCATATGCTAGGCAAGTGGTCTTCTGCTGAGCCACAACCCCAGCCCCCTCTCTCGAATATCTTAAACAAAATACAGTACCTGGAATAGGTTTTGAAGGATCTTTGGAGAGAGTACAGTATTTTGCTTCTTTTGTGTCATACTCTGCCCTAAGCTGTTTCATTTGATCTATTTGCAATTGAATCTTCAAGGAATTATTTTCAATAATCCTCATTCTAAAAAACAGAAATTCTTATGTTTCTTTCAATTAATTTAATTCTTGAATCATAATATTTAAGATAAGCAGGTTAAATCATTATTTTATTTTGGCTAATTATCATTTTGAACCATTATGAATTAGGTAGAAGTTCAGAAAAACATGTCCTGAAAAAGTTAAGTAATCTCACAAATAAGGAACAATTTTCTTTGAGAGCTTCAGTAAAAATATAATCTAATATTGGCTATGATTATTAACCTATCAGAAACTCATAAGTATTAAACATATTCTAGTCACAAAACACCATCTATTCCTTTTAGTAAAAAAAAAAATGACATTTGCAATTTAAATATCATTTTGGTAAATAATTGTTTTGGTTTCCTGTGGCTATTGTAAAAATTATAGAAACTTGGTGACTTAACAGAAATTTATTCTCTAGCAATTGTGGAGGGCTAAAGTCCCAAATCAGTATCACTATACATAAAATCAAAGTGTTTTGAGGGCCATGCTTCCTATAGAAGCTCTAAGAGTCAATCCATTCCTTGCCTTTTCCAACCTCTGGTTGCTTCAAGAATTCCATAGCTGCAAAGCTTCAATCTCTGCCTTCATGATCACATTGCTCTCTCCTATTCCTCCCCCTTATAAGAATACTTCTTAATATCTAGGGCTTATCTGGATAATCTCCCTACGTCAAAACCTTAATTTATTCACATCTGCAAAACCTGTTTCCAAACAAAGATAAACATTTGCAGGCTCCAGCAATTAGGACCTGATGTTTATGAGGGCCATTATTCAATCTACTGCAGAGATTTTGATACTAAAGCTAGAGGAAAGATAACACTTCCCTGAGGTAAAATTGAGCACATTCAGAAATACAGATCCTAAAAACTACAAAGTAGTGCTCAGCATAGCGGTTCACACTTGTAATCCCAGCAGGTTGAGGATTAAGTCTCCCATCTTGGGAGGCTGAGGCAGGAGGATTAAAGTCAGCCTAAGCAATTTAGCAAGACCCTATCTCAAAATAAAAAAAGCTGGGCGTGTGGCTCTGTGGTTAAGTGCCCCTAGTACTGGGGGGGGGGGGGAAAGAAATGAAATTTACCCTACTTCTTAGTTTAAGAAATAACCAAACTTAGTTTTAAAAGTACCTTAAGTCCGCACTATACAACTGAGCTACATCTCTAGCCTGTTTTGGTTTTGCTTTACTTTTTTTTTTCCTTTTAATATTTTTTAGTTGTAGATAGATACAATACTTTTATTTTATTTATTTATTTATTAATTTTTATGTGGTGCTGAGGATTGAACCCAGTGCTTTACACACTCTAGGTAAGCACTCTATCACTGTGCTATAACCCCAGCCCTGCTTTACTTTTTGAGACAAGGTCTTGCTACAGAGCCCAGGCTCACCTAGAACCTGAGATCTTCCTGCTTCAGCCTAATTTCAAAAATTCTATTAAGGATTATTTGAGGTTTATTTCCTAGCTTTGGTGGTCCAGGGGGAAAAATAACAGACTAAAATAAGTTAGATACCCTTGCAGAAAAATTAAGCAAGAGGGGCATGGCAAGATCTAGGGACCACTGTAATGGGGTTCTGTAGTAGGAGAGAAAGATTGGTCTCAATTCCTAATACATTTGGCAAGTGGGAATACATAGTCAAGAAGCTGTGGTGGGGGAGTATCAGTGGAAAAAAAAATAAGAGGAAACATCAGAAGGGAAGACTCTGGGTAAGTAGACCTAACAGAATTGCTGAAGGCAGGCCAGCAAGGCTCCACTATCTCTGATATGATCAGACATAAGGAATTTAGTCAGACAATGAGGATGATCAGGTATTTAGGGCTGGAAATTCTGCCTAAACCAATCTGATAGGATTCTTGCTAAAATTATACAGTCATAGGTGGATATGAAAGTCCAGAAGTCAAGTCTATATGAAAAAGAGTTCAGGGAAGCCAGATAAAGAATCTTTGTCAATATTTAAAAAAAAAAAAGTTATTTTTTTCTTTTTCTTGTTTTGCAAATTAAAACCCAGTTTTTTAGTAGATAACTGCTGTCCACTTCTGATTATTATACCGAATTCTTGGTAATGACAGATGACTCAAAGTAAAAGCCAAGTATTTATAATAAAGGGATTATAGAAATAAAATTTATTTAGCTTTATTCCAAATAAACTTCTGCTTGTGAAAGAAAGCTATATTAAAAATAAACAGGACTTCAAAAGAATTTAAAGCAGGAACTCAGATACTAGCATACAAACGTTCATAGTGGAATAGCCAAAGGTGAAAACAACCCAAGAATCCATCAACAGATGGATGGATACACAAAATTTAACACAACATTTAACGTACATATGATAAAATATTATTTGATCATAAAATAATGACATTCCAATTCATGATACCACATGGATGAGAAGGCTTCTAAGCGTTGCTCCTTTCTTTTTCTTTTTTTTTTTTTCTTCTAAAATGTTTTGGATGTTGATGGACCTTTATTTAATTTATTTATTTATTTTTATGTGGTGCTGAGAATCGAACCCAGAGCCTCACACATGCTAGGCAAGCACCCTGCCACTGAGCCACAACCCCAGCCCAAGTGTTGCTCCTTTCTATGCTACTTTTATGGTCTATTTTTTACAACTTCACGATGATAGATGTAGCTGAGGATTTCTTAGCATTTATCACACTTGGCTTTCTTGAATCTGTGAATTGGTATATTTCACCAATTCTAGAAAACTCTCAGTCATTATCTCTTCAAATATTACTTCTGTCCCATATTCTTTTCTTTTAGAGCTGTGATTAGACAAGCTAATATGACCAATCTGCCACATCTTTTATAATAGTTCTATTGATATGTAGTTCAGATTCTTTTAAAATTCACCCTTAAGAGTATAATTCAGTGAATTTTAATACAACCATCACCACTAAATAGTTCTAGAATGTATCATCATCCAAAAAATAATCCCTATACCCATCAGAAGTCTGCTGAGCAGAAAGTAATTTTCCATTCAGTCCCCAGGCATGGAGCAGTTCACCTGTGGTTTGCTCTACCAGAGTGGAGTCCTTTATCATTCTAGCTTTATGGGGAGGGCTTCCCAGTGGGCTACACCCCTTGGGCAGAGCCTAGACTTTGTCTTTTATCCCAAGTTGCATACTAAAAACTGAAATTTATGGTCACAAGTTTTAATAAATATTCTCATGGACAAACAATTTTTAGTGCTCTGCTTATTTTTTATCTTCTGTTAGATTTTGCCCTCATAATCTCTTATTTTCTCATCAGCTTTCTAATGCTTCTGGAAAGACTTTTGTTTATTTTATAAGCTGGGTACAGTGGTACAAGTCTGTAAACCCAGCAATTCAGGAGGCTGAGGCAGGACGATCATAAATTTGAAGGGAGGCCATAAGCAACTTAGCAAGACCCTGTCTCAAATCAAAAAATTACAAGGATGGGGATATAGCTCAGTAGCAAAGCCCCCTTGGATTTAATCCTCAGTATTAAAAATAAATTATAAAGCCAGGTGTGGTGGCACACACCTGTAATTCAAGCTACTTAGGCAGCTTAAGCAGAAAGATTGCAAATTGAAGGCCAGTCTGGGCAACTTAGTGAGAGCCTATCTCAAAATAAAAACAAAAAGAGCTGGGAATGTAGCGAGCGCTCAGTAGTAGAATGCTTGCCTTGCATGCATGAGGCCCTGGGTTCGATCCCCAGTACTGGAAATCTTTTAAAAAGAAAAGAGAGATCCCTAATAGCAAGGTCTATACCAACATCTAGCCATTCATATTACCAGAAAGGTCAAACTTTGCATAATTTTTAAGTTGATTTGAAATCATCTATAAAAATATTTATCAATTATTTGTCAAATTTAATACTGAAAACATGACTACTCAACAAGAGTATTTTCTCCACTCTAGTAGGTTACTTACTTTTGTACATTACAAGATTAAGCTCTAATTCAGAAATAATCATGAAATTGTACTATCAAATCACTGCTGGTGGGACTGCAAATTGGTGCAGCCAATATGGAAAGTAGTATGGAGATTTCTTGGAAAATTGGGAATGGAGCCACCATTTGACCCTGCTATCCCTCTCCTTGGTCTATACCCAAAGGACTTAAAAACAGCATACTACACAGCCACATCAAATATATAGCAGCACAATTCACAATAGATAAACTGTGGAACCAACTTAGATACCCTTGAATAGATGAATGGATTAAAAAAATGTGGCATATATACACAATGGAATATCACTCAGCAATAAAAGAGAATAAAATCATGGCATTTGCAGGTAAATGGATGGAGTTAGAGAAGATAATGCAAAGTGAAGTTAGCCAATCCCAAAAAAACAAATGCCAAATGTTTTCTCTGATATAAGGAGGCTGATCATAGTGGGGTAGGGAGAGGGATCATGGGAGAAATAAAACAACTCCAGATAGGGCAGAGAGGTGGGAGGGAAAGGGATGGGGCATGGGGTTAGAAATGATGGTGGAATTGTGATGGACATTGTTATTCAAAGTACAGGTATGAAGACATGAATTGGTGGGAATATACTTTGTATACAACCAGAGATATGAAAAATTGTGCTCTATATGTGTAATAAGAATTGTAGTGCATTCTGCTGTCACATACAAATAAAAAATTAATTAAATAAAAAATAAAAAGCTATTCCATGAATAAATAAATTAATTAAAATTTTTTTTCATGCAAGAAATTACTTAGAGAATCATTTTTTGCATCCCCAATTTTATGAAAACACAGTGTACCTCTGGTTTTCACAAAGTTCTCAAACAAAATTAATACTCCTACTTGAAACATGTAAAAAATATAATTAATAGGAGAGGAAAGCATAAAAACCCAGCTTTTAAAATTAAAATGAAATTTAAAAGACTAATAACCTTTGGTTAAAGTTATATTGGCTGGTTATTATAGTATAGAAACAATTATCACCTTTTGGGCTAGCTACTAATATACTTACTTTGCTTCAAGCTGGATAGCTCTTCTCTGATGATATACCAAAACTGTGGGCTCTGCTGCCCAAACTTTAAGTTTTCCATGAAGAAAAAATGTAGTTCTTCGGTCTTTCTTTAGTGTCTCAATAAAGGCATCATATTCTTTTTTGATTGAAGTAAGAATGGATTTGTATGCAGTGACATAGTCTATTACCTGAAATATGATATTTCTGCCCATGATACTGAAATTTTTTCTAGAAGACTACAAGTCAAAAGCCTTACAAATAGCATTAAGATTATTTCTTAAATGAAACATGATTAACAATTACAAATCTAAAAACTTTACAGAAAGCTCATACATGACTGGGCACTAAAGACAATATTTATTGAACATATACTCCTTATGGATCATTACAGTGGAGACTGATCTTAAGTACCAGAGAGAGGAGAAAAAAGACTATTTCTGTTTTACCTGTTATAAACGCATACCATATATTATGTCAGTTGAATCTAATACCAGGTTAAATTTTTCCAATTCTCAATCCTTTAATCACATATCTTCTCTTAGTTCCTTCATTTAAGACCTTAAAATCCTGAATTCCCTTTACCTACTGGCTAATCAATACTCTGAATTGATGTTGAGAGCCGCAGGCAAAGAGGCCCCAGCAAACTTCCAGCTGATTGGCTCCTCTGTGGTGATGCTCATTGGGCTCTTTCCCCGCCCTTTCAGACCACGGAGCTGCTCATTGGGGGACTCTTTTGGCTCCGCCCATGCGACCCAGCCAATCTGCCTCAAGAGTGGTTGAGGTGCTCACCAGAAGAGCCGGTGGGCTCTCGGGGAATTCCTGGAGCATGGTTTGCATTCAAAAAATAAAGTTCCTTCCTGTTTGACAAGTGGCTTGTGAATTGTGCCCAGCCAGACTGCGGCAAATTCCTAATGCATGTCTATTCTCAAGGTGTCAAATGCAACTTTAAAAAACCCTCATCACTACATAGTCATGGTTTCCAGTGGTGTTTAAGTAAAGACTATCTCAGGAAAGATAACTGAAGAAAATAACAAATAACTTAAGAAAGGATAACCGAAGAAACAGTGGGCACCTGCTGAGAACGGAAGGGTGTGAGATGAGAAGGACCAACCTTCCATGTACTAGGTTTTTTCCTTTACCAATTTTCTTTTTTCTTAATCTTGTACATTACCCATGCAAAAATAATCAAAAATACTTTTAAATAAGCTAGGAAAAAAACAGAAAAATTATAAATAATTATGGTTTCCAAATTTTGCTCATGAGGATTTGAGAGGGTACTGATGTGTACAGGGAATAGAAATGATTTGCTCAAAACTTTCTCTGAAGCCTGCAATTATGCTTTCTATCCCTGCTACATTCTAGACTCTAGTATCCCCCAGTAGTTTTCTTTAGCTAGTCAATCTAGAAAAAGTTATCCAGGAAGACTTTCAGTTGATCAAGAAATAAAATAAAGAGATAATAAATCAGTGGCAAGAAGGAGGAGAAATCACTTGAGTAGGAGATAGGTACTTGTCTCTTTTGGACATGACCAAATTGTTTACCTTAATTAGAATAGGGGTCAATAATAGAATAGAGGAACAATCTATGAGAACCCAAATTAAGTACCCTGCTGCTCCTATCATCCTCTACTTCATGAAGCCCTGTGATGTGCTCCAACAATGCAGCACAACTCATATACATTAATGAGTAGATAACAGAACTATAGTGATACCAAGATCAGATTTTCTGTCAGTTTGCTAGAAGAAACAGGTTTCAGAAGAACCACCCATGATATCTATGAGAATGCACAGAAAATGCTTTAAAGTAGAAGATGCAAACTGGCATGCCACTAATAGAAAACAGGTGGAAATTTTGCCTGATCCACAAAACAGCTTTAAGTTAAAAAAATTTCACCCCCAATAATATTTTCAGCTCCTCTTGAAAACTCTGAAAAGTCTACCAGCATGGAACCCACATTCCTTAATGGCAATAATAGCTGGACCTTTAGACTGAGTTGATTCTTCATTTTACAACAGTAAAAATTCTCTCAGAACTAGTCACTTAACTCTTTATATGATCATTCTGGCCTCTGCAGGAATTAAACTTTTGAGACTTTGTTATTAAGATTTCCATTAAACCCAAGAAAATCACAACTATACTTACTTGCTACAGGGATCGGAGGGAGAAAAAGAATGGCATTCATTCTGTCTCTGTTCCTACACATGGATCTGAACTATTTGTTCAACACACTATCAGGAACACAAAAGTCTAGTCATTTTCTAGAGTCCAGTACCTCCATAAGACACCCATTTCTATAGAAATTCCCTCTTCTAGTTTGTGTCTTGTTTCTTAGGCCTCTGACTCATTCTACATCTAACCCCAATTCTTAATATATGCATCTCAGGGGCTGGGTTGTGGCTCAGTGGCAGAGCACTTGCCTAGCATGTTTGAGGCACTGGGTTCAATTCTCAGCACCACATATAAATAAATAAAATAAAGTCCATTGAAAACTAAGAATATGAAAAAAAATATATATATATATATATATACATATATATCAGGTCCTCTCTGCTTTGATTCAGGTTTGATTCTCTACGTCAAATCATTTTAAATATAATTTGGTATTTGTTCTCCAATTCCAAGAACCTGAGATGCAAGTTGATATTTTTTATCTTCTGTCCATCAGATCCTTCCAAGAGAGAAAGAACTGGGGGAGGCAACCAAATCATCCAAATCAATCAAATCAAGTCATCTATCATCAAATGTGCTGGAATAATGTGAAAATCAAAGAGAAGCTAGGAAAAAAGTTTCTCTATTCTCCTAAAAGGATCAAATGATTTCCATTTCAGAATTGCCTCTCAGTCTTGAAAAACAGATTCTTTACAAAATAAATAAATGTACAAATTTTAATTATAATGTGCAATCTAGATGGAAATCTTGAAAAACAGAAAGAAAGGGGGCGTCAACTACAGATATAGATAATGTTTTTTAATTAATCACATCTGCTTTTCTAAGAATTAAATTTACCATTAGGCATGATTGTGCACACCTGTAACTCCAGCAACTCTGGAGGCTGAGGCAGGAGGATCACAAGTTCAAGGCCAGCCTCAGCAATTTAAGGAGGCCCTAAGCAACTTAGGAGACCCTGTCTCAAAATAAAAAATAAAAAGGGCTGGGGATGTAATTGAGTAGTGAAGACCTCCTGGGTTCAATCTCCAGTATAAAAAAAAAAAGGAGGATGATGATGATGATGATGATAATAATAATAATAATAATAACATTTATCAACACCAATTCCAAAATTATTTCATTTTAACTATACTAATTTAGAACAGACTGCTCTTCAGATGACAAAAATTCTGACAAAGTGTTATCATTTGGTCATGCAAAGATAAGTAGGTCACACAACTTTTCTTTGCTGATTTCACACAAATAGAGTCTTAGCGTAACTTATATTTATGAAACCTAGTCAAGATAATACCTTTATTTAAAACATTGACCCAGTATATTTCTTAATCACCAACTAAAAGACCAACATACAATGAACACATTAGATACAACATACAGACAACACATACAATGAAGATAATCTTAAGCAGTTCTAAGGGAGAGATGTTCTGTATGATTTAAAGGGAAGGGGAAAAAACCTCTCTATACTCTCATACATATGTATCAAGTTTCTTAATTCCACTGTTAGGTATATATCACTACTTAGGGCTCACTTTTCTGTAAAGTGAGGCACTAGGTTTTTGTTTAGAGGAGAAATAATTGACTCATAGTGTACTAACATTTAAAAATTAAGCAAAACACAGGGTTCCTATTTTGCCTGTAGCTATTTTACCCAGAAACCAAGAAACTTAAGGTAAGCACTTCCTTTAGGCAAAGATGAAAGGATGCTGATTTCTGTCAGGGTACCTTCCAAGGGAGAGTTAAAAAAAAAATAGCTAGGCAAAAAATTAGGATACATGTACAAATTGTAAATGTTTATAAGGAAAAACAATTATTTCTAAAATCTCAAGGAACTAAATCAAATGTTATATAAAGTCATAACATTTTTTAATCTAATCTCTATTATTTCCAGTGTTAGGTCCAGTCAAATCTCTTGCTCATGCTTATAAGACCACTAACTACAAGCGGTATCATGTTTTTATATCAAGTATTTTATTTGTTTATTTGTTTGCCTATTTATTTAGAGTCTGGGTGCTATGTTACCAAGGAGGGCCTCAAATTCCTGCCTCAAGGGATTCTCCAGCCTCAGCTCCCTAAGTATCTGGGCTATAGGTATATGCCACCATGCCAAGCTCAAAAGGTCTCAATTAATATGCTAAATCAAATTTGAACCAACATTTAATGATATCACAAACAAACCCAAAACAGTAAGGAACTAGCAAGCTCTTGATTAAAACCCAATTCCTAACAAGTTAGATGCCACCTTCAGATAGAGAGATCAAAATGATTATGAGAAGAGAAAACACAACCTGTTAAGTTAAAATAACTAAAACATTCATTAATAAGTAATGTAAATCCAGCATTGCATTTTCCTCATTCATCCCTTTCTGACAAACCAGTTGAACTTCTAAAAACCAACAAAAAGAATGAGGTCAAACAAGCAGTGGTATTTTTAAGGCAATTATCAAGGTAGGACATTTCTACTCTCATGAAAACTTCATTGCCTTAAGAGCATTAAGATACCTTATTAAAAACATTTTGGTATATGATGTAATATTCATCAGCAGGTCCTTCCTCATTACAGCCCACTCTTTCAATTTCTGTAATTATGTATCTTTGCGTACGTTCCAAAAATTCCTTGTCACATCTACTAATGATAGGAGGAAGAACTGCATGTTTATGTATTTCTTGGATGGACATAAGTCACAATCTGCACACTTAGTCACCAAAGAAAAGTGAAATCTTGAACTGCTTTTGTAACAAAGCCAAAACTTTGATAATCCTGAAAGAAAAAAGACCATCAATTAATCTAAAGGCTTAAAAATTATAAATTGAATATTAATCTAAAACATCAGAAAAATTCCCATTGATCTGTTTTTAAGAAAAATATTTCAATCTATAAATTAAAAGGTCTATGCTACAGAGTAGGGTGTAATTCAGTAGTAGAGTGCTTGCTAGCATGTGCGAGGCCCTGGATTTAAGCACCAGCACAAAAGAAAAAAGAAAAAAAAAGATCTATGCTATTCTAGGCCATGTAGATATCTCTGGGATAGAAATACCAATTACTAGTTAATTAGGAGCTCTTCCTTTATTAACCAAGCACAACTCCTCATATGTATCATATAATAAATGGTTTAACGCAACACTTTCTTTTTCTTTATTTTTTTTTTCAGTGCTGGGTTTCAAACTCAGAGCCTTGCACAGGCTAGACAAGTGTTCTACCACTGAGCTATACTCCAGCTCTCAATTTATTTTTAGATCACACTTTAATAATTATAAGGATACTTCAGGCAGCTAGAAAACTCAAATGAAGGTTTAATATTTTATTTGTTTCATATGGAAAAACGAGTTAGTAAGTCTCTTGATGACACAAATAAGGTCAGATAGGGCTGGGGTTGTAGCTTAGTGGTAGAGCGCTTGCCTTGCATATGTGAGGCTCTGGGTTCGATCCTCAGCACAACATAAAATAAATAAAAATAAATAAAGATATTGTGTCCATCTACAACTAAAAAATTTTAAAAAGGTCAGATACTCCCCTGCCCAAGTGCCTACCTGGCCCAGTCACAGCATACAGTACCTATGAAAAATTAATTTTTATAATAGATTTTATAATGATTCGCATCCTTGATACAAAGGTGCTAACTGAAAAGTAAGAGGCAGGTCTTCTGTTAAAATCCATCCATCAAGGCTGGGGATAGGGCTCAGCAGCAGAACCTTTGTCTCACATGTGGGTTTGATCTTCAGCACTGGAAAAAAAAAATCTATCTATCAATAATGTCAAAGATAACAGTACTTTGGGGAGTACAGTTTTCAAACAGCTTTTTACAATGCTTTTGGCAAAGAATCATTATTCAACTGAAATTGGATACAGAAGGTGATTCCTAAAATTCACTCACATTAACCCATTGAGTAGGCTGGGGTTGTAGCTCAGTGGTAAAATTCATGAATTTGTGTTTAGCATGTGCAGGGCCCTGGGTTCAACCCCCAGCACCAAAGCAAACAAAAAAACCATACTGTCATTGTATTAAACGTCAGACAGAACAATTGGTTGGCTTTGTCTGGCAAAGAAAAACATTTTAACTTTTCTCCCAATTACAGGAATATATATCCATGGAATAAAATCTGAAAATATAAACCAAAGAAAACTATTGAAGAAAACAAAAATCATCCAGAATCCTATTACCCAAAGATAATCATTATATTTCCTACCAATCTTTATAAGCATTGGGTTCAAATTCTATATTCAGTTGTGTATTCTAATTTTTTCACTTATTTTTTTAATTCTTTTACTTGTAGATGGACACAACACCTTTATTTTATTTTTTTATATGTGGTGCTGAGGCTTGAACCCAACGTCTCACTCATGCTTGGCAAACGCTCTACCACTGAGCCTCAACCACAGCCCTTTTCACTTAATATTAAAAGCACTTTCTATTTTGTTGTTTTCAACACATAAGTTCTAAAGATTGCAAAGTATTTCATAGTATGATATTTTATAATTTGTTTAACCATCCCCCTAATTTTGGATAATTTCACTATTATAAATAATGCTGTAATGAATAAATGTCTAAACCAATTGTATGATGTTTTGGCAATCAAATTGACATCTGGTTATCTGAAATAACATATCTATTATTTTCTATACAACTATAGAAACTATATAACTATAAAACCTATATAACTATAGGTCATAAAAAAAAGAAGAGACAACCAAAATAATTTTGAAGTTTAAGAGACCAAATTAATCTTATACTGATGAACTAGATAACAAAAAGTCAATTTAAACTACAACAACGTAATAACCCATAAATGGATAAACAGTTTTCTTAAATGAAAAAAAATCAGTGAATTTTTATTCATTCCTTGAGCCAGTATTTATTGTCTACTAAGCACCAAATAATATTTCACAGCTAGAAATTCAGCAATAAATAAGATAACACCACTGGTTCCTTGGAGCTTAAGATGTAGTAGGGGAGACACACTAAAAACCATGTTTTTTTTTTGTTGTTGTTTGTTTGATTTTTTGTGTGTGTGGGGGGGTGCTGGGGATTGAACCCAGGGCCTTGTGCATGCAAGGCAAGCACTCTACCAACTGAGCTATATCCCCAGCCCCAACAATGTAATTTTAAATAGTAAAAGATAAAAATCAAAGGAGGAAGGAATGGATTTAATCACCAGGGAACAGATGGTCAAATCAGAATACCAGTGGCTTCCTATAACCCTTAGGATAAAATTCAAATTCCTTTACTTGACCTATTAATGCCCTTTAGGAACCAATGACTCTTTTTCTCTCTGATAAAATCTACCCTTTTCATGTTCTTGTCCTTCTCCCCATACCATTCTATCCTCACCCCTATGAATTTGCCCTTTTACCTTAGGATCTTGTATATTTCTCCCTTCCTGCAACTCTCATCTCACACTCATGTTCCCCTTTCCCCCAAAAAATTCACACACACACACACACACACACACACACTGCATCACTTGTTCTCCAGATCTCAGCCTACATGGTTTCAGGAAAGCTGCCCCGAATTCCCTCAATGGTCAGCGCCATTGCCATTGTTCTCCTATAGTACTATGCACGTCCCTTGTCACAGAATTATTACACTGTTTTGTACAGTTTCTGTTTATATTCTCTGCCTCTCCCGTTAGGATGTAAATTTGACAAGATCTGGAACCAAAATGTTCTCATCCCCATTACCCCTCCTCCACCCATGTGCACTCCAGTACATAGTAGTCCCTGGCAGAGTGGGTATTCAACAAATATTTGCTGAATCAGCAAACAAAATCTTGTCCCAGAAGACAACTGACTTATGGTGGCCTCAAACCAGGAAACAGTTAAATTATTTATTCCTTAGCATATTCAAAATGTCACTGAATTACATATATCAACTAAGATTGCCATTCACTTGTTTTTAAAAACAAGTCACCTGGATTCCCAATCAAGTCTGTTGGGTCTAGTAAATGAGCCACTGCTACAGAGCAGAGAAGGCAGTGTGAAGCAATGAGCAGAGTACACTGGACTACAGATGCCCACAGAGCATTTCACTAACCTGTGAGAGAGGAGAGAACATTAAGTAGAGAACATCCAGTGGAACAATATAGGGTAATGCTTAAGTTGTGCTATACTTACTTCTTCAATAAATACTGAGGGCATCTGTCACTATTCTAGGCACTGGAGATACCAAACTGACTAAAACAAAATCCTTAACCTCTCAAAAAGTACATTCAAGTAGAGACAGACAACATATAAGTGAAAATATATGACAGATGCGGCAAATTGTATGAAGAAAAATAAGACATTATGGGAATAAGAAGCTGGGAGGGTGCTATTTTATGTAAGACAGGGTCAAGAAAGAGGAAAACCTTCACTGACTAGGTGACATTTCAGAAAACGTGTCATGCAGATTCCTAGAAGTGGTTGAGGTACAGAATAGTAAATCCAAAGGTCTCAAGGTGGGACAGTATATTTAAGGAACAAGAGGCCTGTGGGACTTGAAGAGAGAAAGGGAGAGAAGAGTTAAGGTCTGAGGTAGCTGTCACATCTTGCAGGATACAGGGCCACGAAGACAGGACTACTACCAGTTGATTTGGTGCCCCTTTCTCTGGGCAGTTTTGGCAAGAGGAGTACTGAGCTGGACTGTGGCCTTCACTTGTTCCTGTGCTGGAGCAATAGTCTCACTTATAGGAATTTAGACTTTGCTCTGGGTGAGATAGAAAACAAAAGAATAGCAGCTGATTTACATTTTAAATTAAAAATGACAGCTGACTTTCATTTAAATTGCTGGGGCTGCTCTGTGAAGAATAGATAATTGGGATAAAAGAGTCAAAGCTAGAAGTATTTTTAGAAGTGTTCTGTACATATACTGAAAACAAAGCCAAGATTTCCTTACAGATTAAATGTGGGGTATAAAAGAGCAGTCAGGGATGACCATACAATTTCTGGCCTTAGCAAATGGGAAAATGAGAACTGCCATATATAGAGATGGGAAGTGCAATTTCCTGAGATCAGGAGTCTGTGACTTGTCTTTTACAGAGGCTGAATACATATCTAGATATGTGAATCAGAAGCTCTGGGAAATGGTCTGAGTGACAATTTATGAGTCTTCTGCATATAAATGGTATTAAAAAGTTATTAGAATGAGATAACTTAGGAAATATAAATAAAGGAGAGATTTATAGACTGGGGTGCTCTAAGTCTAGAGGTCTCATGGTTAAAAGAGGTCTCATGGGTGAAAAATAAGACCCCGGAAAAGAGCTTTTAGTACAGTAAAAGTGTTAAGAGATACCCTGAAGTCAGGTGAAGAAAATGTTTTAAAGATAGAGGAAGTGATCAACTGTGTCAAATGTTGCTTACATCAAAGAAGATGAAATGACTAGCTTAGCAACATGGAATACACAAGTGCCTATTACAAGAGCTACTCCACCAGAATGGTGGGGCAAAAGCCTGACAGAAGCAACAATGAAGAGAAAAACTGAAGATAATGAGTATAAACAAGTCTTTGAAAGTTCTGTTGTAAAAGTGGAGACTAGTTGCTGGCTCACATGATCCTGCTGTCCAATGGTGACCTCTGCTGGCTCACATGATCCTGCTGTCCAATGGTGAGCCCTGCTGGCTCACCTGATCCTTACCTACCAATTAGAATGCACCCCAAGCCAGCTGCCAAAAAACCCTTTAAACTGTTTCAACTGTCAAACCACCCCCAGCTCTATAAATATGCAGAGCTGCCTCAATAAACAGGCATTTTTTTCTCCGAAGGCAAGACTTTATTGTTCTTTCAGGTATTGTGGCTATTCACAAATATATATATATATATATATATATATATATATATATATATATATATATATATATATATATATGAAAGAGAGAATGAATATGAATATTTATTAGAAAAGATTCTGTGGTTTGTAGAGAAAAAGCCTAACTTGCTATACACACTCCAAAATTTTCCTATCAGGACCTTCGCCAATGCTCGCCACGTCCAAACTTGTAAATTCTACAACTAACCATTTGAACGTTTCTTTCGCATAAGACTCCATTCTTACATTTGTAAAACTCCAGAAACTTTCGACATATTAAATCCTTTCACACCGAGGAGTGACATAACCGGCCCAGAGCCTTCCTCCAGCGAGGAGGCTTGGGGGTAGAAAGTAGGCTACAGAACGGCTGATGCCCCATTTTTGAAAATTTCATCTGCGCTCCGATTTGCCCCTTTCCCTTTCCCTGGAGGTCTGAAAGGCGACGCCTAATTCTCCCTCCCTCCCTCTGCGACTCAGTAAGAGCAAGAAGGATGCTTTCATGCTCACACCCCTTTCCCGCCTCTTAAGCCTTGCCTTCTAGTTACTTTCGGCACAGTCCCACCCTCCCAGAAACCATTACTCCTCCTCACCTCCTCTTGGATCCTTACCTGAATCCCTTTCTCCTAACCCGACTCCAGTGAGTGCTTAGTGACTGTAACTAGGGAGCCTGGGGTGTGGAACTGCATCTTGGGACAAGTAGTTCTGACCAGAGGAAAGCAGTAGAAAACTACAATTCCCAGAATACACTTCCATTACTTCCCTTTTCTCCAATCTTATTAGCCACTTTGAAAGACCCTCTTAGCCACATCGACGGCCTGCGAAAAGTCTTCTTAAAACATCTTTTTTAAGTTATTAAAATCTAGCATTTTAATTACATTCTGAAAGCTAACGTGAGAAATAAGCTCAGATTTAGAGAAAGGAGGAAAGAAGTCTCGCGACCCATTCTGGCACTGGGTTAGACAGCTGCTGTGACAGCGGCCAGGCATCTGCCTTGGTCGCCTAAGGGGTGGGACCTTCGGCCAGGAAACCTCGGGGACAGCGCCGCGCTCTTCCTTTCCGATCCGCCATCTGCGGTGAGTGTGTGCTCTGCTTCGGCCTCCAGTCGGCGGCTTATGAAACGCGTAAACCGGTATCCCCAGGTCTAACCCTGGTCTCCCTTTTTCTCGGCTTCAGGTGGGACCGCCGCCGAGATGCAGATTTTCGTAAAAACCCTTACGGGGAAGACTATTACACTCGAGGTACGGGCCAGGTGGTGTGAGGAAACCGAGGCCTGAATAAGGTGGTGAGGTGTAATTGGGGGCCCCGCGCCGCTTTCCAACCCTTAGGACATACCTCCTAATTTGAGTTCTGAAACCTCTCCCTGAATTGAGGGTGGTTTGCGGAGCAAGGCCGCGCCTTTCACCTCTCGCGTGGCTCTGGCCAGCTTGAGGTGAGGAAGGAGACGCTTGTCGCTAGGCGGGCGCGTTGTGGCCCAGCATCCGCCGGCCACCCTGTGCTAGGGAGCTCATCTGTAGCGTCCATTGGAGAGTGCCCACCGGGTCAGCTTTATTGAGTTCTGTTCTGTGGAAACTGTCGATTGAATTAAGTCAATGTTCTTTCTAGTGTAACCAATATACTTGGATTTTAAAATTCATAGGTTGAACCCTCGGACACTATAGAAAATGTAAAAGCCAAGATCCAGGATAAGGAAGGCAAGTAATATTTTTGAAGTTCACGAAAATTAACTTGTACAGACACGGCCTACCTGTTAAGCATTTAATGTATCTGCTCTTGGGGGGAAGAGGTCTGATTGACAAAGTACTAATGGAATCAAATAACAAATATTAATGAGAATGGACTCAGGCTACTTAGATTGGAAGCTCTGTAGAACATTTTGCATGTGTGAATTTCAATGAGGTTGGTTTCTTGAGATGGGTCTCACTAAGTTGCTCATGTCCTTGCTAAGTTCCTCAGGCTGGCCTTGAACATGTGATCCTCCTGCTTCAGTCTTCTGAGCCACTGGGATTACAGGCATGGGCCACCTGTGCCCAGCATTAATTGTGTTCTGATATATAAAATGATTCTTGTATTGACAGGTTAAATTTGCGAACATGTAAACCTTCAGAATTGTGTGTAGCTCTGTAAGGACTTAGTGACAGAAATAAATAGCAAATATTTGAGTCTGGATTATTTTGCAAATCTGGAGCATGTATACCTTTTTTCTGCTAACTAAACTGAGGGTTTTTGTTTTCTGCATTAGGAATTCCTCCTGATCAGCAAAGACTTATCTTTGCTGGTAAGCAACTAGAAGATGGACGTACTTTGTCTGACTACAACATTCAGAAGGTTTGTTTCGGGAAAAGAGGGGCTCCTTAAAAATAAGTCTTACATTAGAAATTTGGGCACATACAAATAAAGAAAATGGCAGTAGATTCTCAGGTGATTCCTACACTAACATTTGAGAAGCGCTATTACCATTTCTCACATTAATTAGCAGGTGCCTGATATTGTCCTTAATGTAGCATAAAAATGTTTCATCCTGTGTTTACAGGAATCCACCCTTCATCTTGTGCTGAGGCTTCGTGGTGGTGCTAAGAAAAGAAAGAAGAAGTCTTACACCACTCCCAAGAAGAATAAGCATAAGAGAAAGAAGGTTAAGTTGGCTGTCCTGAAATATTATAAGGTGAGCCAGTTTTATGTGGAGTAGAATATCAGAAAACTTGTTTATTTGTAAACTGTCTTCACAGTAACTTGTTGGCATTTTTCTTATGAAATAATTGGAATTAAATATACTTATATCTAAATGAGCCTACATTTGGTTTAAACAAGGTATTCTGAAAATGAAAAGCTCAATTTCTGAAGTCTTCTGCTTGGTAGTTGATTGTGCTTATATAGTGGAGTTCTGCCCTAGTTGCTTATTCCATGGGGTTCTGAATTTGAGGTAAGATCTGGATTCAGAACTTAACTTCATCTACCAGTAAGCAAAGCTGTATTTTAATGTACAAATGTCCTATGACTTTTATTATAGTAGTATTGGTAATAATTGGAGTACTTAAGCTTGTAAGCACAAAAGCCATCAGTATTGTGGAGTTAAAAAGTTAAATACTTTTTAAAATTTTTTTTAGTTGTAGATGGACACAATACCTTTATTTTTTTATGTGGTGCTGAGGATCAAACCCAGCGCCTCATATGTGCGAGGTTAGTGCTCTGCCACTGAGCCACAATCCCAGCCCAGAAAGGTTAAATTCTTTGAGTCATTGAAATCAAATACCAAAATGTTTTCTAAGATTATCTTACAGCAAGTTTGTGTTTTTCAGGTGGATGAAAATGGCAAAATTAGCCGCCTTCGTCGTGAGTGTCCTTCAGATGAATGTGGTGCAGGAGTTTTTATGGCCAGCCACTTTGACAGACACTATTGTGGCAAGTGTTGTCTGACTTACTGCTTCAACAAACCAGAAGACAAGTAATGTATTTGAGATAATAAAAGACATGAACTAATATTTAATTGTTGAATTTCTTTGCGGATTTAAAGAATACTTTTTGAGCATCAAATTGATGGTCCCATCATTCTTTGATATGCCTCTTCATGTGAATTATTTGACCTAGTGGTTCTGGGTCAACTACTTGGTATTTTTACTACATAGTAATTTCATACTTTGGTGGGAGTTACCTTAGCAGCTGAGTAAATATAAGCCAGTTTTCAATTCAAAGATGCATCCCATGTTGGTAGGATATCTGCCCTTTGCAATACAAGGGAACACACTGCTAGTTAATGTTATGCATAAGCTCTTAGAAATTATTCAGGATGGATCCTTATAAAATATTTAATGGTGTTCACGGCAAAAGAAAACAATATTTCAAACAGTACATGTTTGTGTCATATTTTACCCATTCAGCTCAATTTGGGGAGGATTGGTTCGTTGGTGCCACTCTAGCTAAAGTTTTATTAAACTATTACATTCAGTGGTAATGCTACCAACTCCCTTTTTTTGCATGTTACATTCCCACTTGAGAATTTCTCATTGGAGATATCCTTGAATGGTTTATTATTTCTGTACCAATCTGACATGCTCTAATACACATGGTGTCTACAAGTACTTTTTGACCATTTAATGGTGAAGCTTTAACTTCTGTAAAACAAAACCAGTTGGTGTAAAATAAAGCAAAGGCATTTCATCATTGACATTTTTAATATAGTTTTAAAATCCTGGGTCCCAAGAAGTCTTTGCTGAAACTTCCTTTTCTTCATAACAAACAATTTCATCTCCCACTTGGAATTCCACTTTTTCTTCATCTAAACTGAGACCACAATCCATTCCAGTTTTAATGACTGAGATGTCATCTTTATGGTGTTTCAACGAGGTCAATGAGCCTTAAAAGGAAATTTAAGGTGAGTATATTTAACAAAGTACTAAGGCAGGCATGAGGTGCACACCCATAATCCCAGTAGTTTGGAAGGCTAAGGCAGAATGATTTTAATTTTGAGACCCGCCTCAAGTACTAAATGCTATGTAGTTTGGTGTTAAAATAAAAATTCTCACTGGAATTCTTTGAAACTTTATTATACAGTCCTGTCATTAAATGGGATTTTATGCCAGGAAAGCCCAAAAATCTCCCACTTCAAGACCGCAAAGGATGGGATTATACTCAGGACTGCTAAACACTGTAGACGGTAGGTCAAGTTCTGAAAAGATGGGAGTAGAGGACTGGAATGTGTAAGTGTAGGATGAAAGTGAAGCCAATTTTTAAAAGCTTGGGAAATCGCTGCATGCAAAAGTACATGCCTATAATCCCAGCTACTTGGGGGCTGAGGTGACAGTTTCTCAAGTTCAAGGCCAGCCTGAAAAATAGGCTCAGTCTCCAGAAACAAAAGTAGTTAAAATCAAGTCTGAGGAACTAACAATCTAGAGGAATTGTAAAAATTAATAGGAAGGGAACTCATCGCTATGGAGAAGAATGCTAAAACAGCGTTATGATGGGAAAAGATCAATGGATTTCAGATGGTTATGCAATCGGTAGGTTTGGGGCCTGGATAAACCATAGAAAACATTTTGATGTTGCTTACCTTTCCAAATAACCTGTCCCTTGCGGATTAATTTAAATTTTTTTTGTTTTTCTAACTGTCCTTTTTGAACTCTGCAGCCAGCCACAGGAATTTTCTTCTTTCCTTCTGTTACAGAGAAGGTAGCTAGTATAGAAGCCTCACCTTTAGAAAGAAAATGATGTTAATGATCTGAAAAATAATGCCTCCTATTCTACAGTATTAAAAAAAGATTGTGTTCTATATGTGTAATAAGAATTGTAATGTATTCCATGGTAATATAAATTTTAAAAAATTAATTTAAAAAAAGGAATTCTCAAATTTTAACTATACTACCATGAGTCAGATTTACTAAAATGCAGAATCTTATTCATTAGTTCTGGGATGGAACTGAGTTTTCTGAATATGTAGCAAGCTTTCTAGTGATTCCAATATCAGTGGTATAAGAGAAAGTTTTGAAATGCAACAAGGTAGACCACCAAAAGGAAATATTTACTAGTAAATTTTAATGTATGTTATTAAAATAGGAAATAACAACCACCACCAAAAAAAAAAAAAAATGGGACCTAGGGATAAAACCACAGACCCTGTGTTTAACAGAAGAAAAAATAGGCCCTAATCATGGGGGATTAGGCCCCAATTTCCTGAATAAGACTCCTTTGGTGCAAGAATTAAAATCAAGAATCAATAAATGGGATGTACTCAAACTAAAAGTTTCTTCTCAGCAAAAGAAACAATCTGTGAGGTGAAGAAAGAGCCTACATCTTGGGAGCAAATCTTTACCCCTCACACATCAGGTAGAGCACTAAACTCTCAAAAAGCTAAGCACCAAAAAAACAAATAACCCAATCAATAAATGGGCCAAGGACCTGAACAGACACTTCTTAGAAGATGATGTATAATCAATCAACAGATACATGAAAAAATGTCCATCATCATTACCAATTAGAGAAATGCAAATCAAAACTACTCTTAAAGATTTCATTCACTTCACTCCCGTCGAAATGGCAGCTATTATGCACACAAACAATAACTGTTGGTGAGGATGTGGGGAAAAAGGTACACTCATACATTGCTGGTGGGGAGACAGACTCTGCAAATTGGTGCAGCCAATATGGAAAGCACCATGGAGATTTCTTGGAAAATTGGGAACGGAAGCACCATTTGACCCAACTATCCCTCTCCTTGGTCTATACGCAAAGGATTTAACAACACACTACAGGGACACAGCCACATCAATGTTTATAGCAGCACAATTCATAATAGATAAACTGTGGAACCAACCTAGATGCCCTTCAATAGATGAATGGATTAAAAAATGTGGCATATATACACAATGGAATATTACTCAGCAATAAAAGAAAATAAAATCATGGCATTTGCAGGTAAATGGATGGAGTTAGAGAAGATAATGCAAAGTGAAGTTAGCCAATCCCAAAAAAACAAAAGCCAAATGTTTTCTCTGATATAAGGAGGCTGATTCATAGTGGGGTAGGGAGGGAGAGCGTGGGAGGAATAGACAAACTCTAGATAGGGCAGGGTGGGAGGGGAAAGGAGGGCGCATGGCGTTAGAAATGATGGTGGAATGTGATGGACATTATTATCCAAAGTACATGTATAGAGACATGAATTGGTGTGAATATACTTTGTATACAACCAGAGATATGAAAAACTGTGCTCTATATGTGTAATAAGAATGGTAATGCATTCCATTGTCATGTATAAATAAAAAATTAATTTAAAAAATGAACTTGTGCATAGAAAGAAGTCCTGGTTTATTTCCACCAACTTTATTTCCCTGTCCAATAATTAGAAATAACAGATGAACTTGGGGCACTGAGGTAGGAGGTAGGGTATCCAAGTTCAAGACTAGACTGGGCAATTTAGTGAAACTCATCTCAAAAAGGGCTAGTATCCAAAGTACATGTATGAAGACATGATTTGGTGTGAATATACTATGTATAAAACCAGAGATATGAAAAATCATGTTCTACATATGTAATAAGAATTATAAAGCATTATGCTGTCATATATAAATTTTTTTAAATTACATTTAAAAAAAAGGGCTGGGGATGTAGCTTGGTGGAAAGCATTGGCTTAGCATGAGAGACTCTGTACTGCAAAAAATAAACATGAAAATCCTTGAGTGTTGCCACTGCTCTATGAAAACCTATTTTCTAGAGTAGATTACCTATCATTACCTGATCTATTTTTAAGTCACTTAAATGTTTTCAGATCCGCTTATAAATACTAATTCTGTAAATATTTTTCCTCTCAATGAAAATTAAGTTCCAATAATGAAATAACTTACTATAATTACCAGTTTTTTAGGGTGTTATTTGACTAGTGGGATTTGACTAGTAAAAACCCTCATAATATGACTGTTTTTCCAAATTGCTACTAGTATAAGAACATACAAATATCTGCATGATCATATTTAGCAGGTCAGAAAGGCATAAACTAACTTTGTATGAACCAAAATGTAAAATCCAATCTCATCACGAGGAAACATTAGACATTAAAAATTAAGGTATGTTCTACAGTTGCTTACATACACTTCAAAAAGGTCAAGGTCAAGAAAGACTGTAGAATTATTCCAGACTAAATGAGCCTAAAAAGAAATAGGAGGGGCTGGGGTTGGGGCTCAGTGGTAGAGCGCACACCTTGCACGTATGAGGCACTGGGTTCCATCCTCAGCATCACATAAAAATAAAATAAAGGTATTGTGTACACCTACAACTTAAAAATATTTTTAAAAAAAAGAAAGAAAAGAAATAGGACAATGAAATAACAACCCAAGATCCTGGACTAGAGGGAAAGCACATGCATTACAAAGTACACTGTGAGGGGCCTGGGGATATAGACCAGTTGGTAGAGTGCTTGCCTTGCGTGCACAAGGCCCTGGGTTCAATCTCCAGCACCAAAAAAAAAAAAAAAAAAGTACACTGTGAGGACAATAGACAAAATTTGAATTTGGACTGAATTAGAGAATATTGTTTGATCATTGTTAGTTTTATAAGAATATCCTTGTACTTATTTAGCAAATGTACATATTTAGAGGCAAGTGGGTACAATACAAATTCAGCCTTTAAATCTGGCTAAAGGATATGCTAGACAATACTTAACAATATTTAACATTTAAATATAAAGTAATTTTTCTTATTGTATAATTTCTTTGCCAGTCCCAGTGGCACCTTCCAAAACACTGTTAATTTTATATATGTGTGTGTGTATGTGTGTATGTATATATGTGTGTGTATGTATATATGGTACCATACGTATATATGTATGTATATATGTATGATGTGTGTATATATATGTATATGTTTATGTGTATGTGTATGTGTGTGTGTGTGTATATATATATATATGAAACCAGGGATTGAATCCAGGAGTGTTTAACCACTGAGCTACATTCCAAGACTTTTTTAAAATTTTCAGACAGTCTTGCTAAATTGC